ATCTGAAAGCCCTCGTTTACTCGCCTTTTATCAGTCAAAAGTCAATGGTCCATAGTCAGATTCTTACACATGGTCAGATTCTTACAATCATCTCTTGTAAATTCATTTATAAGCATTTCACGCGACAATCTACGTCAAAAATCTATTTAATGACTATGATGAGCCGCTCCCAACACACACACACACAATTTACCCAGGCAAAAGCTATTTATGCTACATCATGGTAGATAGCAGTTTCCCCACCAGAATAGAATAACCCGAGATAACCAGCCTGCTCTCATCCTTTTCCTCTATCATTCTATTCAAGATGTTCTCTTTGATGACATGTTACTGGAATTATTCATCTATTTAAAGGTTATCCCACCAAGGAGCGATGGATGAATGACAGGTTGCTGAGATTCAGGAATAAGGGTTACAGTTGGAGGGCTGTATTCCATACCGGTTTGAGTTGGATCATTAATCCGACTTCGCCTAGTTGCAAAACGACATTGTTGAGAGCAGGACCTCGCTGAACGATATAGTGAATCTGGATCGGAAGTGCATTACACAAAACTAACCACGGCGCCACAGCACATTAGTATTGCACATATGCTTGTATGTATTTGTATATGTATAACCTGACAATCTAGTGACATCTTGGTGGCGCCAGGCAGCGGAGCCACTAAGAAGGGACAATATAACTATGGCGACGTTTTTGCTCACAGTGTATAAAAGAAATGCTAAGTTGTGGTCATTATTTACCAAAAGGTGAAATAATCCCGTTCATCAAAACGCATCTAGCACGAACTTACCCAAATATTATGATGTAGCTGAAGAATCAATTTTAAATACTGGCGACGTGTTTATAACGTTATCATACACGCATTTGAATCTCAAAATCTATAGAAGCAAACGCGCTATTTGAAGACCAGTGCCGTCGCCTGAGTGAGAATAACGATTAAAAACCTCAAGCCCGAATGAAGCCGGTTACAGCAAAGACAGATGGGAACTATTTGACAGAAGGACTCTTTAATAAGCAGACTCGTTCTTAATGGTGCTTTTCATGTGCATAGCGACGAGATACATCATGTGAGAGGCTGGCGGCTTCTTCTCTCCACTTCTATTGCACCGTCATTATTAGCTATTAGAAAAGGTACGTTGATGGAGTGGAAGATTAGCTTTTGTGCGTGAGTGAATCGGAAGCGAGGAGCGGTACGGGCATTGTGGGCGTTGTAAATTATATCTTCAAGGCGCAATAAATTCCTATCGATCGCCTCCCGCTGTGTGCCGATCTAGGATAGCGCTCACTCGCGCGTTCTGATGGATTCGGAGCAAACACCGGCGAATCCAGCGTGTTATTGCCTGGCCTGCAGACGTGACAAGGTCGAGCGTCGGGGCTGGTATCGATTGAAGTAGGTTTGGAGTTTGGGTGACGTTTATCCTTCACGGTGTGCGGGAGCAGGCAACCTCACCCGGAATTCAATCTAGCGGCAGCGGCGCGGGGTACCGGGGTCGGCGCTGACGGAAAGGCGATCCGATGTGAAACAATGGTGCGAGTTTGGTGTCAACTCGGCTGAAACTGACAATCGCGCATGTACTACTGTGGGTCAAGGCCTCATGACTGAAATCAAATCAATCCACCAATGATTGTAAATGGACCATGGATTCGAAATGGGCCTTTTCTAACAAAGATGATGATATGTCCTTGACAGAAAAGATATCTAGACTCAATAGTACATTCAGTTATTGCCAAAGGCTTTAACCCAATAAATCCCGAATCCATCCATCCGAAATGGTCATTCCTAACTAGGTTATGTGCACATTTACTGATAGAACCATCGGGCTCCCTCCATGATTTTATCCTTTATTCGTAGCAAGATTCACTTAGTAGAAGTAACTGTATAGATTCCGACGTGGACCATATTAGAATCACCCAAAAAAGTGAATGGAATGAACCCTGGACTCGTTCCTAGTCCTTTTTCATGATTCGTTAAAGGTGCCCCACCTTCTTATTTTGAGTGAATTGTTAAAATTTCCTTACTGAATTGCCGTACGGGGAAACCAACAATGCCACTCCTGGAGATCGGGACTGTACAGAACCCCCGGTGTCAGACTGATGGAACTCACCACAATCCAATCATCCAGTTAGGATTGGGACTAACGCGATGATTGGTCCCGTCTAATTCAATCCACTGCTGCAATAACTGTCCTTGATTTCATTAGAAGGTGAATGCCCACCAGGAGCTGAACAATTTCGACTGAATTCGAAATTTGATTCAATGAACCTATCTTCGCTCAGTGAGAAGGCCAGGGCTAATTGAAAAAGTGGCACAGTATCGAATACCTGGCTGTATCATGAGGCACGATTGGAACCATCCTTAGTGCGTTTTGTGATTGCAGTAAGAAACGTTTTGTGCCAAGATGCAGCAACACAGATCACCCTAATAGTCATGCCTTTGATTCTGTTGTTATTGCCATGTACGTTTACTGGCACCATTTGAAGTAAAGCGCACGTAAGCAAATCTTGAAGAATGAAGACTTACCGCCGGAGCAGCAGCTACAGTTGACATCCTCCGAGATATAGACAATCGTCCCACGCAGCACTTCATCAGAATGGATCCTGCGAACGACAGCTTCCTTTATATCTACCGTGACCCCAGCCTTCACCGAAGAAAGCCTGCAATCCTGAGAAGGTGTTACGAGCGAGGCGTGTGCGTCAGTAGGATGGCATCAGCTGCCGAACATCACTTCATGATCGGATGATTTCTGTATCATAAACCTGACACCTCCGACGCATGCCTAAGTCATACAACTCGTCACATCCCCCAGTAGCTATCACTTCAAAAACAGTAACGCAAAAGTTTAACAGTTTACGGTCTATAAAACGCGTGCACAGAACCAAATTTTTAACCCATGTGAAGAAACAGTAGTTCGTCGGTTTAAAAAGTGCGTTGTATGTTATTTCGACCCTGTATCTTCTAGCGCCGCGCCAGCATGTATTTACAAAGTAGTTGGCGTTACTAGTATTCCCGTTTCTGACCTATGCACAGAACGGGTAATTATAGCCATTATTTCCTCGGAAAAAACACCCAGCACTAAGTGGGGTGCCTTTCATGCTATCATAAGTATCCAGTTATTTCGTGACAATCCTGCGTCTTGATATTACGTTACATGCTCTGTCGCTATTCCTGTGGTAATTAGTATGTTATTATACAGCTGAGCGTTAATGCTGTTACTAGTATCAATCAGCAAAGCCATTTAGTCGGAATTGGAAGGGTACGTGGGAAGGACGTCTGTCACTGAAGCCACGGGGGAGGCACTGCACTTCGAAGTGTTTTAAGTCAGCAAATCACACAAGAAATGACTGCTTTAGTTGCGTCTCGTTTCGCCCCATGCCTGCTAACATATCTGTACACAGCTCGTTCGCTGAAAATAGCCGAGATATTCATTGGCGTAAACTCCCTTTACACTGGTACTGTAGCCTTGACCTACAGCATGACATTCCTGAAATTGGACCACTATACTGTTCAGCCTTAGTAACAGTGGAGTTCCTTGTAACAGTATAACCCCTATGAGCTCGACTAGCCCTTTACATCAGCACGGAACCCATCCCATTCTAGTTCCAGTCCACTTTTCTGATTGCTTGTTCCCCTATTCTTGGGAGTTGAATAGGATGGATTCCGGGCTACGTATACCTCTAAGTACCCCTACCTCGCAAACGTCCATTAGGCATTACCGCAAACTTACGCCTCTCGGCCGGGAGAACATTGGTGCGTTGTGATAGAACTGGGACACCAATTCACGGATGGGCCGTAGCAGATGTCATCTAAACCTTAGCCCAAATTTAAACGCCCAAAGGGCACTGATACCATTTACCTTAATGGCTTTTCGACGATAATATCTCCCCACAGTTTAGGTTTCGTATCTTAGGCAAGCTATCAGAAAGAAACTGTTCCCAATTCTTCGTAAACGTTATCATTTGTCTTGGGAGTTGCCTTTGGGAAAGTACTTCCAAAATATAGGAATGACAAGGTTGTATTGTAAATGTAGAAAACAACATCTAAAACCGCTGTGACTTTTACAAGTTTGCATATTGTGGAGTTTTTGACACATCATACAGTGCGCTTAAAGAAAAAAACTGACGATCGCACGCTGCATGCATGTCGCTTTTCAAAGAAGATATACAATAACGTTGTGATAAAGCAAAGACATCGCGTCGCCACATGGGATTTAGATGGCTAAGCGCAAAATTGCGCCGACAGTTTCAAGATTGCCGCGGCCCGACAACCGCTCGCAGCGACTCTGCGGTGCACGATAATAAAACGTCTGCATGGGATGAAGTAAGACGAACGACTTCATTCAGAACGGCTTCACTGTTCTGAATATTTCAGAAAACAAAATAGGCTTCGCCAAATCCGGTGATAAATCTTCCAGAGGAGAACATTCGTGTGAATAAAAGAACAAGAGACAGTCTTCAAATATCGGATCCCTCGCGTTGGTACTGCTATCTATCAAAGGCTTTCGGTAACACTGTGACATTTCTCTTTCGTTTATATTTAGATATATTACTGTAACAGTAAGTACCTTTCATCCCTGTTTAAGTGACTTGGGGACAACAGTCTTTTCTTTATAGGGCCATAACCTTGTACAAGAAAGAACTGTCATAAGTCATGTTTCCTGAACCTCGTCTGTACAAAAGTCAGGCTTGTTTGGTATAAAAATAATGTATCATAATGTATATGAGGATGTCTCGTCCGTTGTAATTTGTAATTTGTGTACGCAAACTTTCTGCAATTCATGGAGTTTTATCTATGCTGCAAGGTTTGCTTTTTGGTGTCGCGAATAAATAAAGCATATATTATTAAGCTGACAAAGGCACATAGAGCAATTTCTTACTGTACCTGGCCATATTATTGTCAAACAAGCAGAAATGCCTTCTGCCCACCTAGCCTCTCTTTGCAAAACAATTCTATACTGTTGTTCAGCATTGTAAAAGTTGAATAAAACCATAAAACAGTGTGTTTTGGCAATTTAGGGTCCACTTTTAATAATTTCATGACTAATAACCTACACCATATAACTTCCAATATCCTTGTCCACTCTACTGCAATAAATAAACACTTACTCATATATAGATCTGGCTCTATATATAGCCTTATATACATGTAACGTTACAGCTATCACAGTCAAAGAATATAAATGAAACATCATTGAAATCAAATGAATTACAATATGGGCAAATGTACCTAAGTGGCAAGAATTTGTATTGCACTAAAGTTTGCAAATATGTATCACTCTTGCATCAATGGAATGTTGTATACAGATGAACAATGGTCAGGACAACAACAAAACAGTCTAGTGTGGAAATATCCCTTCCTTCAGCCCACAGAATAGTCAGCACAATTCTGGAATCAACCTTGTTTAGTGATACACAATCTTTAGACATACTTTTCTCAGCACAGCAATTAGACTAGCTTCCATTTCCCAGTATTTCTGTCACTTAAAAACAACAACACTAAATCCCACATCAACACATTGCAACTTCCACTGAAAAAAACTTTTACAATCAATTTGCCACTGCTAAGGGAATGTAACATATAGCATACTAGCATTGTACATTGCCTCTGGACATAACACCTATACAACAAAATACACCAGACTACACCATACATAGGCTTTGTCAGAGTCTAAAAGAAAGCTTAATGTTTTTTTTCTTGACACCATGTTTTTCAAATTGTCTCCTCATTTATGAACCTTAGATTTCAAATAGAATATCATCAAGCATGTCACTATTTTCACAATCAAATACACATGTACAAAGGTATAGGTCTAAAAAGAACATAACAGCATACTGATACAAACAGCCATTTAGGAGACAGCTACAAAATTCTTACACAAAAACAAACTCAAAGACATTGCTAAATAATAACATCTTTACATCTTACCCAACCTATAACATTCTGAGATACGGGCACTTGGCACCTGATGTGTACCACAGTTCAAAATATATTTTATATCCTTAACACCTTACCCTATAGTTACTTTATTTTGGAATATCACATTGAGAGAACATAGCAACTTCTTCTTTACATACAGTATAGGAAGGACCCCTGAGTGGAATTTCCTTATATTGCTAACAAGCATTTTAGGCAATCATTTCGGGAGTTTTGGGAGAATGCAGCATTGGTTAATCAGCACACCCATACAAAGGGCTGTTGTTTTAGTTGTTTATGAAAAAGGATATGCCTATCCCCACCATTCTACACCATTCTTTTCCTAGCCAAATAATTCTGTAAGGGAACTACAGATTCAAGTTAAATCTAAGTTTCTGAGATATGAATTGCAAGGGTCTTCAAGTGATGCACCAAGTTTGGACATATCTCTATTACATACCAGAAGATATTTCTATGGCAAATGCTCATGTGCCTGTGTATATGTGAGAAAGTATGTGGGTGACATGCACTACTCATATGATTTCTCTGCAGGATTCCTTGTATTTTACTACAACAAATTTAGTCTTTAACATTGATTGATTTTAACATCTTCATCAGCATATATGGTTTCAAAGTCTTTTATTAAACTCTGCTGTGAAGTTGTTTTGGCCAACATCTGAATAAGGATATCCTATATACTTTTTCACAAAATGTACTTGACGTACATATCCATATATGAAGCTCCTGAAAAGAAGCAAAAGTTACTTTCACAGACCATTTTGATGAAATACTTTAAAACCATTGCTACTGAGACTATTCTAACAGTACAGAGTCCTTTTGCTGAGTGTTTCTCAGGTCCTTCCCATGTTTGGCAGCTCCTGTGTCTGTCTACACTCTCTGGATCTCAAACAGCTTCACATCCGTGTCATACCAGATGGGAGGGTCCACATTTCTGCAGGGAAGAGGGACAAAATGTTTAAAGTTTAAGGTACAATGTACATGTATGGCTGACGCACACCCACGCACATACATATATATGCTCACACACACAAGCATGCATGAATGCGTTGATGCAAGCACACAATCACACACACACACACCACCACACACACACAAGCACAAACATGCATACGCACATACACACACACCCATCCCTACCTGAGATAGATGATGCCCCACATGTATGTGCGGAACCACATGGTGGTACCAGAGTTGGCCTGGTACTTGCGGATGAGGATGGGGTGGGGTACCGGCAGCAGTCCCACCAGGGTACCATGCTGCAGGAACTTCAGGATCTCTGACTCATCAGTTAGACCCCTGAGGAATAGGGAACAAAACACACAGCTAAACCCCTGCATGGTGAACAAGGAAAATACAACATGTACATACACTATGGTAATGGTTTCCAGACCATTCTGTTGCGCATATTGAGCCAGCAAACATCTGCATGCTCAACTGACACAAAGACTTCAACGAATAACCTGACATGCAACTTGCAACACGGTATTCTCTGTTGCCAACCCCGCCCCCTGCTTACTTGTCAATGCAGATTTTCTCCACCTGCGGCACCAGCACCTGCAGCAGCCTCATGATGGTTTGCAGAGGCAGCTTCTGTTTCCAGGACTGCACCTGAAGGTACAACATGCACAGTACACTGTCACCTGGTTCTAATTAATACAGCAATGGCTTCAAAGACTCACAAAGACTCTATTATCTTTGTCCATAGGATTGACAAGCCTGTCAACTTAAGTTTTGAAAATAAAGCTCTAAGGGAGTATTGTCTCCAAATTTCATTTTTCTAAGGCCATGACCTAACCCTTCATACAAACATCAGAGAAATCTATGTAACAAAAAAAAATGACTCTCCACAACACCTACCCATTCTGAGGTGGGTCTCCACTCTCCGCCCTCTCTGCTGCTCATGGAGGCTGTTCTCTTGACGGCTCCCCGCAGGTCAGGCTGGATGGAGGCTGTGGAGCTGGTGGGGGACTGAGCAGGACAAACACTCTTTACACACAGCCTTACCATGGGAACTACTACACTGCTACATGGACTACTGTAGTAACTTAAGGAGAAATGGTTTACCACAAGCAGACAGAAACGCAAACAACACAAACTTTGGCATCCAACTGAATGTTAAGAAGGAATGAATCAATCACACACTGTTACCTGCTCTAAGTGTCGTCAACAAACATACATGTATAACATGTCACACAGAACACCATTGTCATCTCAAGCACAAATTTGTAAAGATTAAAGCTTTAAGAAGACAATGACAGAGCACACAGACAGCTGTGCATCATCCAAACCATGTTCCACACTACCTGAGGGACAGGTGTGCTAGCCGCAGGTTTACTGTCTTCTACAGAACTTTCCGTGTCGCTGGGTGACGGCCCGGCCGCTCCGGGGGTGTCCGCCTCTCCTTCTGCCGCCTGCTCAGCCAGAGACGATGCCTCCATTTTCTCCGTCAGCCGGTCAATGCCTAGGGAACGACGATCTAAATGACCAAACGATGACTGATCATGTGGTAATGCTGATTTTGTGACTTCCTTCAAAGATACAACGAATGGATTCGACAAATCGAAAATCAACAAATGCCAAACAGGAAAGAAAGAAGCAACTGTCAATCAATTTGAAACAGCACTTCAAACAAACCAAAAATTAGAAGCAAAACAGAGCAAAAACCTTCCAGAGTTCCTGACAGAATGTCCTGCCTCCCTGTCTTTTTTAAGGTTTTTAGCACAAGCTTAGTTCAGTATTGATCAATTTTGTGCCATGAACATCATTCAGGCTGATCATCTGGCCTTCATGACTTGACAAAAAGAAAAACTATGCAAATTCTAACTGCCTATATCTTATACAACTTACATGTAGTGCTGCTCATTTAGAACGTTGGCTTTGTTCACATTTCTTTCCTTTAACAATTCCAATGTTCAAATTTGGATGTTTGACAAATCATTAAGTCATATGTGAGCTATCAGACAGGAACAGCAGAGAATCTGTAAGTAATCAGCAAGAAAGTATTTTCAGCTTTGGGGAAGGTTTCAAGCTTTGTGCAGATACAAGCCAGTCCAGTTGCAGGGCTGAAAAGTGCCATGATTTCTTTTCTTTGAATTGTGAAGATTAGAACAATTTGTGAGTGCAAACCTGAAGCTTATTGTACTCTGAGGAGGAAGTCAGATGCACAGCATTCCAGCATACATGATGATATCACAAGTTAGCATAACATTGAGTTTGTATTAGTTAGTGAATATAGTGATGACAGAAGAGAAATGTTAGTAAAGCAGTAAAAATGCCACTACGAGAGAGCATGGTTAAAAGAATTACAACTTGATCTACTTTAACCAATTAGAATTATCAATTTTCCATCATGCACACTTGATTTGTTACAAAATCATGCAGCGACTACCATCAAGCTATATTCATGCTTGATTCACATTTTTGGCAATTTTGGTCACATTACGTTCATTACCCAAGGGCCAAATTTTACATGCAAAGCCTCTTGTTTACACAGGACTTTTACAATGGTACAAAAAGAAGCCCTTAAGACAGCTCCCACCACCAACCCTTACCTGGCATCTCAGCTAGTGTGGCTTTAAGTGTTCCTGGTTGGGCCTCCTTCGCTGGGAAGGACCCCTCCATGGATGGAGGGTCGGCTACGGTAGGAGAGTTGGGGACGGAGCGCTGAGACGCCTCCGAGCCTTTCCGCTTCCGGCTGACAGCCTTCTCGATGGAAGCTCTGTCGGTCGGAAGGTTGGCCAGCTGGTGGAACACGTTTCTCTTCCGGATGATGGTGTACACCAGGTTGGCATTCCCTGAGAGGAAAACAGATTTTTTAGCTTCAAATCTTTACAAATATTGTAGAAATTTAGCTTTAGATCTAAACAAACAATGTACACTATAACTTGACTTGAGTTACTTTCAAAACCTTTCAAGTAAGGTGCAAAGTTACCATTAGATTTAAATGTACACATGTACATAGTGATGCATACCTAAACCCAATTTTAGGTTCAGGTCCGGATTCAAGTCCAGAGGTTTAGGTTCAGTTCCGGACTTGTAAGTCCGGACCTAAACCCATGGCATATACAAAATTGCATGGTGGCAACCTTGCAATGTTGTTTGGGTGAAACTTTGGCCACATAACATGGAGGCCGGTACATGACGATGCCCGATGGCAATGTTTTCTTCGTTTTGCAGCAAAGATTTTACAATCTATGGAAGGTTTTAGTTGGTTTGGAAAGAAAAGGGGTCTGTGAAAATTATGGTCTTTTATGGTAATAAGTCCGGACTCGGTTCTTGACTTTTAGGTTTTTTTGGACTTGAACCTAAACGTTCTTACAAGTCCGGATCCAAGTCCAGTGAACCGGTATGCATCACTACATGTACATTATAACAGAATTAGCTTCAAGTCTTTACAAATAAGGTGCGAATCAGGTAAGGTACATGTATGTCACTGCAGAAGCATGTGAAGGGTTTTATTTTGTATGAGACAAAATAGCATTCTCCAAAACACCAAAAAGGTGAAAAAGGGGTTCAGGACTCTGTGTACAAGACCTGTGTGACAGTAAACATACCATCAAACTGGTACTGGATGATGTTGTTGAAGACCTCCAGCAGGAAGAAGACCAGGTGGTGGTTGGAAGGGTTGGAGAACAGGAACCACGGTGTGGAGAAGGCCTCCAGCAGGTGCAGCAGCTTGGTACTGGCCACCATAGACAGGCTCTTCAGGTATGGAGACACTGACAGGGATATGGTACGAAACATTTATTCTGATGCTATTAACTCCTATATGGACTCTTTCTCATTCATTCTCATTCCTTTACCTAAGTATCCATTCATTCATTCTCAATCAACCATCCATTCTCTCTTTCAATGACACTGCCTTCCTCCCTTTACCATTTTCTCTGTGTAAAGACACTCATTGAGCTCTCAAACGTGAACTTTGTTACTACTGGTATAGCATACTACATGTACTTTGTAGTACACACAGTAAGATGCAGGCATAAAATTGCAGTTTGCTTCTATATTGCTAGATGTCTCTGCTTCAGCAGCAGCTGCTACCGGTACTCACCATTGACAATGATGGTGAGAAGGCAGTCAAACAGTGGCTGGAGCCTCTGGTGTCCAGTGGTGATGATCTTGTGGAAAACCTGTGCAACAGAAAGACTTCAACACTCGAATCATGCTCCCAAGACAGAGTGCAGATAGCAAGAAAGGCAGGAAATTATCTGTATAGAAGAAAAACTCCCTGTACTCACAATGATGAGGAAGTCGGCATGAGTGCCTGTGAAGACTGGAATGTCCATGGGTACCCGCACGGTGTACGGCTTGTTTAGACGAACACCTACAACAGAGACTTCTGTTAACTAAACAGTCATTTATTTGTCATGTAGCATTGTCAACCATATATTGTAAATTGTAACCTTAAAATGCTACACTCCTACAGTGTGGGCTTATCAATGATCATTATCAAGGATGCTGTACACTGTATTTTGAACTTACCAAAGTTTCTCTCCCCACTCAGCAGCAGCAGAATGAAGACTCCAATGTGCATCAGGCCCACACGAGCTGAACAGGAAAGTCACACAATCAGATACAACAACGGGACAGGAAAGGGGCATACATGTAGGGGTGGTGGTGAAATGTTACAACTATCCTTTTCAAAAGTCTTTTTAAACTTAACTTTTCCTATAGAATTTTTCTTCCAATATCAGTGCAAATTTCTCCTTTTCTCACCTGCCTTTCCATCTAGTCCATCGCAAAGTGATCTTAAAAACAAGGGTTTCATTCCTCTAACCTTTATCATTCTGTCTCTTTCTAAGTTTGCTACAAAATCTATACACTACAAGAGGTGCAATGATCTTTTAACACACTTCTCTCTACATCGATGTATAACAGTGAAGACCTATAGCTTTGCTTACACTGGTCCTGTCTGGAGTCATTGAGGTGGTACAAGATAGGGGCGATGACATCAAGTACATCACTGCTCTTCAGTACATAGAACAGGAATTTCTGTCACAGAAAACAAAAGATTGTTTTTAAACTAGATGACATACGATTGTAATGTCTCACATCTTTATACATTTCATCTTAATTTGTACAAATTTGTACAAGTAAGAATAGTGTAGTTGAAAGGTAAGTAATACATCAAATAATGGAAATACAGACAGTGGCTACAGAACACAATGGCTGACCTTGTTAAACTCGCACAGCTTCCAGAAGAGAACAAGGATCTCCTGATGGAAGTTGATCTTTTTGCAGGAGTTGGGCAGGTAGGTCTGTTTGGCAAAATAACATTTCATTTATAATTGCAACTTTTGCTCATGTTTAGTTCTAGTTGATGTCAATTGAATTTGGTTAAACAAAAAACAACAAGCTTAAGGGTTACAAATTGACAACATTCATGTTCATAAAGTGCAAATATTCAGAAACATGTACTAATCAACAGAATATCAACCTGTTTTAATCAATATTTGGTTCTGACCTGTATAAGTGGGTTGTTGAGCAGATTTGTGATGCCCTTCAGAATGAAGTGGAAGTCCTACATATACAGATACAATAACAAATTATCACACCAAGTACAACAGTATATCAGGTGAACACAATAGTTATGTAGACACACATGCATATATTTTTTTAGCATAAAACAAAACCAGAAAAGTTCTTGGAATATATCCAAAGATGTTTAGTAATCTTTACCTCCTCACGGTGTATCCGAGACAGGTAATTCACAAACAGGTTCTGTGGTTCTCCCTGGAACAATACAAACACAAACTTCATTCAATGGGGAAGTCTTCACGATGGAGGGGAGGAATAAAACCCGCTTAGAGATCATTCTATGAAAAACAGAACATTTACTGAACATGTAGCTATCATATTTCTTACGAAAATTATTCTTGTATAATAATTTTTGATACATTAGAAAGTAAAGCTAATAGATTCTTGCAAAGGGACAGAAATGGTTGAAAAAAATTGGATACATAGTCAGTTATCTGTGTTACTTGGATGTGTACTACATTTTTAAGAGGGACAGTCACAATTTCTACCTTGAGCCCTTACAAAGATATTTACTAACTTGTGATCCTTCTTGGGGAGCCAATACCTCTCTTGTAATCTGATATGGGGTAAAAACAGTAAGTACAACATCTTATTACCAAACTTTAAAGCTGGAGGTTTCTATAGTTGTTAACAAGTAAGGATGACGATTTAGCTTCAGAATCTTTAATATCTATTCTAAACCAGACAATAGCACCTCTGTAAAATCTTAGATAAAGAATAGTGAGGAAAATATATGTGGGATCAATGACAGGCTGACAGGAAGGGAAATGTTGTCAAATTGTCTTCTAAAATTTCAAAAATCAAGTCTGTACTATTACAGCTGGCTTTCACCCTAATATGACTTAAGAAAATTGTTACTGATAATTTACTTGTAGGAAAATGTACAAGTGAGTTGTGGTATGTACCTCAGCCCCCTGGTCCATAGCCGTGCCTGTTGTTGTCCCGTCCACAGAGATGGCACTCTGCCCGTTATCATGGTCCAGCACCACGATCAGCAGCTGCAGCGCCACTTCTACCGTCGGCTCGCGGTAGTCGCTGAACAGGAGGTGGTTGTACGGCATGCCGTAGCCAATGGGGTCGTAGGCACACACGATGTTGAGAAGGGAGGTGAAGAGCGGGAGGGCGTGACGGTTCTCCGAGGACGCAAAGTACGTCAGCCACTGGTTGGGTAAAGGGTCACCTGGGTGATAAAAAAACAAAACATTATTCGTAGCGATGGGAAGATGACAGACTCGAGACGGGATTCGACCGGTTTCGACTTTAATTCAGTCTTTATCAAGAATGACAGAGATCGGACCACTCCTCCTTTTATACTTTTTCCGTGCCTATCTAGTGCAGGGCGCTCTGCTCGAGTTTTAGATATTGACCAATCAGCATTAAGCATCTCATATTGCCCTGGTTTAGGCTGGATTGCACTGACCTGGAGGTCTAGTTCACTATGCACTGAGTACTATGCACTAGGTTAGGTTGCCATGACCTCAGTTGACCTTGGTTGACCTATGGTATGACTTCATCCATTGTTCTAGAACAATTGCCTATGTCAATTAGGTCCTGTTTTCACATTGGAGGATGAGGCAACTTACAGTTATTACGTCATGGTGACGTTTACAATGGTGTATACATATCAGTCTGAGTGAGTGGTCCGTGCAAGCAGAGTAAGCAAATACATGAACAGGAATTCTGTTGTGCGAACATTGAGTGAAGAAAATAAAAAATAATAAATACCACAACCTTCTGAATTTTCTAAGTGGGTACGTAAGTGCTCGGATCCATAGGATACTAGTAACCGACAAATGCGAAAACTAAATATGATTACAGAGGTTTGTGCCGGTTACGACGAGTACTTTACTTCTTAACCCCTCATACCCTGGTAATTTCCAGCGATTCTAGATTGGCGACAATTCTCTGTGAAGTGTGATAAATCGAACAAAGAAAAATTGTTTAAACGCGCGTCGGCTCAGTCATCTTAAGACGCAACAACCAATCAGAGATGCGAAATGCCGACACGTGACGCGGGATTTGCATACAACGGGGAAGGGCGCGCGATGCCCGAAATATTTTTGCGTCAATATTCAGTGCCGTGTTTCAAGAGATTAATACCGGGAAACAATTTCTTTTCTTGTTTTGAACGCATAAACATGCATTTACGCTAATGTAGTATGATTCAGGGTTACTTTTTTTTTACCTGCCATGGCCAGATTATCTAAAGATGTGTGTATTATGTGTACAATCTACAGAAAGAGAAATGTACATCAGGTCCGATCATCCGATTTTCACGTTTCGGTTTTTTGGACTCGGTTCATGAACGTATTTTGGTTTGGCTCCTGGAATGTGCTCCCGGGACTGTCTACAGGGAACACTCGCACATTCGCGGTGTATCAGGACAGCGCGACTGGTCGGCATTAGCGCAGTCCCTGCAATTAGTAACAGTTGCACAT